CCAGCCTCCAAAACTGTGAGAAATAAATTTATCTTGTTTATAAGCCACCCAGTTTATAGTATTTTCTTATAGCAGCTTGAATTGATACGACAATGAGGAATGGGTTCTTCTTAAAGAAAAACTAAAATCTGTGTCAATTAATTATAGGATCCCCAAAGAGCAATAGGGCTTTATATTTGTTACAGATTATACCAGATCAGACTATACCTATAATATCTGCCCTCCATAGGCTAGCAGTGTAAGGCAGGCCTCTCAATGCTTATTTGCATCAGAATTATCAAGGTGCCCCAGGTCTCATCCTTGACCTGACTGAATCAGAATCCTAAGACATGGGGGCCAAACATGTATATTTATGTGTGTGTGTGTATATATATATATGTATGTGCACAAACATATATGCATATATTTTAAATGTTCACTGGTAATTCTAATGCACAATCTTAGTTAAGAACCATTAGACATAATACATGACTAGAATCCCACCAATGACACTTCAAAATTTTAAATTAAACTCTGTTTTTCACTTTCTCTTTTCCATTTTTTCATATGTTAGAATGCCACTAGAAGTAAGGATTCCTAGGATCTTAGTTAAGAACCATTAGACATAATACATGACTAGAATCCCACCAATGACACTTCAAAAATTTTAAATTAAACTCTGTTTTTCACTTTCTCTTTTCCATTTTTTCATATGTTAGAATGCCACTAGAAGTAAGGATTCCTAGAGACAACAAATCATGGAAAGAGAATCACAAATGTCAGCTTGGAAGAGACATTTAGAATCACTAGGTCAACCTATTCATTTTATTAATGAGGAAACCAAGGTCCAGACAGGTAATTAACTGGTGCTGGAGTGAGGATTGTCTCGCAAGCCTCCAGATACCATTATGCTTTACTGGCTCCTTCAATTTCATGGTATGACTGACTCTGAAAGAAGGTGACAATTCCTTACATAACATCTGCTCTAAGGGCACCACCCAACTATTAAGCTCAGATATTTGCCAATACAAAGAACACTGTACTGAGGGCCATCATAAGGAAAAGAATGTCTTCTGTGATCAAGAAGAGCTGCAATCTTACTGGGGACAGATTGTTTACTACAAATAAAGTAAACAAATAAATGAATAGATAAATAAATAATAAGAGATTACCCAACAAACCAAAATCATCAGAATTTTTCCTTAAATTCTGCCTCTAACAAAAAAGGCAAATAAAATTTTGTTTACAAGTTTATCATGTATTTTTAAATTTTCCTACCTCGATTTTGAAATAAAATTTCAAGCAACATTCAAAGAAATATATTAAATAAATGTTTCAAGAACAGCACAGAACCATGTAGTCAGAAAACCTCAGATAAAATTGTAATTATGAGTTTCTTCTACTTTGCTCCAACTTTTTTGCCCAAGATCAATTCCTAATATTTAGGTCCATGAAGTACCTACTGTCCACTTGTAAAAACTCAAACGAAAGGGTAATAATAAAATATACTCCATACTTATATTTACAAAAATAAATAGAGATCAATTAAAGATATTGGATAGCTCACAAATAGATAAATATGGAAAGATTTATAATCATAAAGCAGTAAAGAGAAAATGTATTTTTAAAATAGTATTGTACGTGATAAAGGTGTAGTCCCTCTGAATCTGTTCTGATTCTAGGGGCTTCCCGATTTGCGAATTGTTTTTATTTTTTTTCTTTTCTTGCTCACATTAAACTTTGTTAAATTTAAAAAATAAATAGTATGGTAACAATGACCTGATAACTTGGTAAAAAGTTTTTTCACTCACTGCTTACGATATAACAAAGCATATTAAGTGGAACCTTTTCTAAATCTCTAGTGAGGCAATACCTTCATCAACTTAGAAGCAAATACAAAAGAGCAAAAGTGTACTGCAAAATAATAATAGACTCGATGTTTTGTTTTGTTTTAAGGTAAAAGAGCAACATAGGGAAAATACTTACAGAAAAAAGAATAAAACAGCAAAAAGAACTCAAGCAAATTGGTAAGAAAACAGCAGGACCACAAATGATAAAAAGAATAAAGAACAAGAATAGCCAATTCTTTAAAGAAAATAGCAAATCTAAAATTAAAAAATCTATTTATTTTATTTTTGTTTCATAATCAGAAATGTAGATTCAAGTGATGACGTGTCATTTCTTACACATTAAAAATGAA